GCTTCCTTTGCAGCTGAGCAACTCTTCTCCACCAACTCAATGGAACGCATAGCCACTGCCAACGGTCCGCTCATTGCAACAAGATGGTTGAGAGGCGAGATGAAAACCACTTGTGCTTCAAATAGCTTCGGTAGGCATAGATTGAGCCGGTTATTCATTCAACACATCTCATGCAACTGATGTGTTCTTGACTGCTATGATTATGATAACCCTCATGAGATCATCACTGTCTGACTGCAAGCAAACTCAATGGCACCGGACAGCCTGATAGGTAATTCAGGGCGCCCGCACATCCTATCGCACTGAGGAGGGAGCGCATTGAGGAGGGGTTGAATGTGTGATTGATGTTCCACGGGTGGGTGGGTGGGTGGGTGGGTGGGTGGGTGGGTGGGTGGGTGGGTGTGGGTGGGTGGGTGGGTGGGTGTGGGTGGGTGGGTGGGTGTGGGTGGGTGGGTGGGTGGGTGGGTGGGGTGGGTGGGTGGGTGTGGGTGGGTGGGTGGGTGTGGGTGGGTGGGTAGGGTGTGGGTGGGTGGGTGGGTGTGGGTGGGTGGGTGGGTGGGTGGGGTAGGTGTGGGTGGTGGGTGTGGGTGGAGGTGTGTAGGTGGGTGGTGGTGGGTGGGGTGGGTGGTGTGGAGTGGTGGGTGTGGGTGGGTGGGTGTGGGTGGGTGGGTGGTGTGGTGGGTGTGGGTGGGTGGTGGGTGGGTGGGTGGGTGGGTGTGGGTGGGTGGGTGGGTGGGTGTGGGTGGGTGGGTGTGGGTGGGTGGGTGGGTGTGGGGGTGGGTGGGTGTGGGTGGGTGGGTGTGGGTGGGTGGGTGGGTGTGGGTGGGTGTGGGTGGGTGGGTGTGGGTGGGTGGGTGGGTGGGTGGGTTGATAATATGGTGATATGGTGATATGGCTTTGTTTATGTTTTTTCTTTGTCTTTTGGTTTGGTTTAGTTCGGCTGTTTGTTGGTTGGTTTGGCGCTGTTTGCTTCTTTGTTGGTTTAGCTGTTCGTTCGTTTGGCTATTTGCTTTGTGGGTTGGTTTGGTTGGTTTGGCTGGTCGGTCCACCCACCCACCCACCCACCCACCCACCCACAACCCAACCCAACCCAACCCAACCCAACCCAACCCAACCCAACCCAACCCAACCCAACCCAACCCATCCCATCCCATCCCAACCCAACCCACCAACCCACCAACCCAACCCCCACACAACCCTACCCCACCCCACCCCAACCCAACCCAACCCCAACCCAACCCACCCCCACCCAAGGCACCACCGACCAACCAAACCAAACCAAGCCACGATCCGCGCACTGCTCTCTCGCCCACTTCAGGTTCCGGTCCTGAGCTTTAGCCGCCACCTTCTCGAAGCGCTGAGGGAAGCGCTCCTTGTCGAACTCCCAGAGGGTGTGGGGGTCATCCCACCCGTCGTCCCACAGGAAGGAGTCCTGCACAGGTCGAAGTCTGCACATGGCTCGTCCGGAAAACGGGAAGCCGGAAAAGATCAATTCCTGGGTGGGCTCATATCTCTTAGGCATCAGGTATCGTTGTGGTTGGAGTCGCAGCAAAAGGAGTCTGATCTGCATGCAAACGCTCACATCCTGCACGCGAGTAAACGGTCTTCAAGATCTCGTCAAGGCCCTGAGTCAAGGGGTTTATGCCCTGTCTGTCAACTAAACCACCAACAAACCTGCGTAAACAACCGCAAAACAGAAGAATTGTGAAAGCATCCAATGCGTTCTCCCCTAAACAGATGCCTCCGCGCCCCATACGACCGGTCCAACTTGGTGTGACGCTTCAGCACCATCTCTTCACCGAAGGCATCGATTCTTTGGATGCAGCGTCCTGCGCAAGCAAACCAAGTTGATTGATGCCTGAACCAAATCCTGCAGGCGTTGACGACATGGGACCCCCCAACAACAAGCAAATGTGCGCTGTATCACGCGTTGGTTTCTTCACGTTCGAACATAGGGATCCAGGAAACGCCCCTCGAAACACAGTTGCCCCGGTGCTTTGGTTGGGCGAAGTTGCGACCGGGGTCATGAGGGGCTTGGACGACGGGTGTTGAGAGAGTATGAAGTGTTTTCTTCTTGGCGCCCCAGTTCTGCCGATTCCCGTCGGCGATCCGCCAGGCAAAGCGTGCCTTCACTCATCTTGTCCGGACGGAGGCTGGAGATCAGGGTCTCATTTGGCCAGGGGTCCTGCCAACAAAGCGGGTACGGGCACCCAGCGTGGGGTCACTATTTCTTTGCCCAAATCGGTGGTCAGTGGACGTTGCAACTGCTCCTGCTGATGCCGCAGCTGTTGGGGGGGGGGGGAAGGGTAAGAACTGGCCAGAAAATGAGAGGAGCATGCACGCTCCTTTGTCCAAGACATTTTGGCCTTGCTCAAACATGTGCACGGAACATTTGCCGACAGCTGATGCCGCATGGAGGATCAATCAGATCATCGTCAGCCAGAAGTATGCGTGTAAATGGGTTTTGCCAGGCTTGCTCTTTGGCAGCAAGCCCACCATGGAGATGTTCTTGTTTCGAGCCCGGGCCTGGGGCAGTCACGCCTGTTCCCTCCTTCCGATAGAACGTGCCTATGTGATGGGCCGGACAAAGAAGAGCAAAGCAACAGCCGTGAGGAGCTGTTTGAATATTGAGGGTTACATGTGTGGGGTAAGATGCTCAAGGAGGAAGTCAACATCCAATCAGCGCAACCTCAGGGATAACCCTGACTTGCAAACGCAACCAAGACGCCTATTCGATTCCTCTACCAAACTCATCCCCTGCACAAGGCCCCCGGTTCCACCTCGCCTTGAAGCCCCCGTTGAAGCCTTCGTCCTGAAGCCGAACAGAAATAAAGCAGCGAGGATCCTCCTCCCTCAAACAGAGATGGTGCAACGTGGGAAACCCAAAGAAGAGACCCCAAACCAAATGGCTTCCCAAAGAATTTGAAACTCCTGCAAATAGCTTGCCCCAAAAGATTTGCAGCCCCCTGATTGTAGCTTCCCTCAACAAAGGTTTCGGACCCCTAGTTTCGCTGCTATCCTTGTGTCTTTCAGCAGGCGTGTCCCATCCTTGGGGCAGTGAGCCAACCTCCATAGTCCAAAATGACTTGCCCTTTCCGGAAAGGGGGTGGGGAGATTGGCGGCTCCCCTGCGTTTTTGCGGGAAATCTAGTCAGCCAGCCATCTCCCAAATGTGCCATAGAGAAATCAGGTATATGTTGATCGAGCCTTTGGAAAATGTCAGAAACTGCTCCGACCCCTCCCTCGTCCTGGTAGCTGTAGAAGTCGTACCAGCTATTGTAGTGGACCTTGGCATCATGTCACGAAGCCTCTGACAGTCCTGAGACCAACTTGGCAACCCCTGTCCACGGTCTCAGGGGGGATGAAAAAGGAAAAGCTCCAAGAACTCCCCCCACCCCACCCCCCACCCCCCACCCCCCACCCCCCACCCCCCACCCCCCACCCCCCACCCACCCCCCAACCCCCACCCACCACCCTACCCCCAACCCCAGCTACCCCCACCCGGCAACCCCCGCGCCGTCGCCTCAGGCCCCGGCCATGGGCGTGCGCCTTCCCGGCCGCTCCCGCTCCAGGTACGACAGGAAGGCCCGGCGCGCCTCTTCTCGGCGCTCGGAGCTCGGAGCGCTCGGAGGGCGCGGAAGGGGAGGACTGTGGAGGGTCAAAGTCTAAGGGTTGCTTCCATGTCCATTCCAAAGATCCGAACCTTTCTGGAAAACCACCAAAAACCCTGGAAAACCGCCTTTTTTTTCCGAAAAGGACGATGGTTGAAAAGAATGCGGAATCAAGTCCTAGAAAAAGGGCACTTAAATCCAGAAATGTATATATATATATATAATTAGAACAAAGAACAGAAACAAAAAAAAAAAAAACGACGAAGGGGCGGCGTGACAACAGGAGAAATATGGGCGGCAAAAGGGCTTTATTCTTGAAACCCAGAGAAAAAGCGACAACTAAAAAGGGAACTTAAGCCTGGAGGGCGGAAAGTAAAAACATGGACAAAGGGAGGAAACAAAGACGATAGTTGAAGAGAAAGCCAAACAAAATTCATGCACATGCTTTAGGGGTCCGCTATAGTCCGTACCGGAGCCTCTGCACGCTGCAACCTAAAACCCAGGGATCTGGCCAAAACAGAACGTCGAGACGTTCGAAGCTGGAAGCTTTGCACTAAGTGCTTGACAGGATCTAGTGCATGTATCTATCACAGTAATTTGAGATCCCATTGTGCTTGTGGGGCTCTAAACGGATACCCCCGAACACACTTGTTTCCCATTGGTGTTTCTCCAAAAAACAAATCCTCCAACATGCCTCCATCTCGCATGGCCAGCAACAGCTGTGCCTAAGCCTCAAGCTTTGCCAAAACAGAAAACACGTTCCAAAGGGTTAATTTGGCGTGCTCTCTACATTGCTGAATTTCAGCTCTGCCGCTGCAGTCACGGAATAGCAGCTGAAACCAGAGACACATCAATCTGAGCCGTGGCTGGCATATGGCTGTCTCATCCGGGGCAAGGGGTAAATGCATTGAGACTGACACGTCTCGGAATGTTGTCACCAAACAGTGCTTGGGTGTTTGCGGCTCTCTTCTGGGAATCCTGAACAGTAAGCTGTCGAAGACAGGGGACCGTCGTGCGAAAGGGCTTGGAATTCCAACTCTTGATCCCGCCCTGTTCCCCAGCGCGAGCCACTTGCCTGCGACGGCTCTTGAAAGGTGCCGATCACGAAGCCATACTCCCACGGCGCCTGGACCCGTTGGAACCCCATGGTCTGCTCGGATCGCGGACCCGTTTTGGATAGCTGGAAAGCCCCGAAAGTGTATGAGTGTATGCAAACTGCCCCCAGATGTTTGTGGTGCGCTGCAATTGTCAAACTGCCAGGTGGAAATCTTCGGGCCATCCCAGTGTCAACGTATGTGGCACGGAACCATAGCCAAACCCTGCTTCCGAGTCGTAGATGAATTCCTCCGGGATCTTCAAAAGACGACCCTCACCCCACCTCGGCTCTTTTCTGCACTCAGAGTCCTGATGTGCTGTTCAGAGTCGGCCCGGACGCTTCCAGGCTCGAATCGAACACCGGCGGCCTGCCTCTTGAGACGGCCCAGAGAAAATCCGGACAGATTCTGAGCTCAAAGCAATTGGCTCAAAAGCAATGCTCCAAAAGGGGCTCCCAACAGAGAAAGCCGGACTTAGCTTTTTCCACAGGCGCAGCCACGAGCTACGCGCCTGCGAGTCGCACTCAAAGGCGAGTCGAGATTTGGGCTTCACTCCACTCTTCCTGGGATCTGGATGCTGTCTTCGTAGCCGCTGAAGGGCTTGGTGGCCTCGGAAACAGAGCGCAAACCCCCCGTTTGGGAAGCTGGAGGCCAGCTTCATGGCGCTGGTGCGGCAGCCACCACATCGAGGGGGCCTTCAAAAAAAGACAAATCCACATGGGTATGGGTCAAAATTAAACCACCGGGGGACCGCAGGTTTTTGTCCTTGGTTCCATTTGCCAGGGTTTCATTTTGGGTACCTATTTTGGACCCACAGCCACATGTCGCAGCGTAGCAGAAACTAAACTGGACATGCTGAACCATCAAGCATTAGCACCTCCAGACGTGTACCACCGGAAGCATGAAATCGAGTCAAGGGGTAAAGTCGAGACATCAATATATTATACCAACAAACTATGATGACAACATGTTCGACACAAAATGGCCAAAACAAATGACCAGCAAATATATGTAGCGCATGCAAACGTGACTGACAAACATTCCAGGATTGTTCAGCCAGCATGAACGGAAATCCACATGATCTGCAACAAAACAATGCTCAAATAGCAAACAAGCATGAGTGGAACAAGAGTCCCGACCGACATCACAAGTTGCCCACTAGCCAGAGAGAAACTACCCGCATGACATCCCGCACATATTGCCCATATGGCCAACAAACATCACAAATAGAACTTTATCCAACATGTCTTAGTCAAACGCTGGGTATCTCGCAGGTTTGAGGGCACTTTCAAATCGGCATGAAATTGAGCTTGGAGCCCTTGACACAACAGAGTTGGCCTCCCCGTGTTGTCATGACTTGCTCACTTGCTCCGAAAACAAGTCAGCTGCGCCGGTTCACCCCCAAACCCCAGACAACATAAAGCAACACATCGCCAAACCCCGCAATCCGGCTTGATTTCAGTCGTTGGAGTCTTATCGAGTCAAGGTGCCATGACATAAAGGGGGAAGGAGATGTAGACGAGGCCCATGACGATCATGATGGCATAGCCAATCATCTCCACCTTTTGGATGTGGCCACGGGGGATGCCGAGCACGGGTGTCACCTTCTTCCTAGGCTCGACTCAGTTTGGTGATTTGTTGCAAACAAATCGGTCCTTCCGGATGCGAAAAACCGCGCGGTTGAGTCCAAAGGTGCAAGCGGTGGGAACCCGCCTGAGTGGGAACCGGGTTTGGTGTTTTGCGAGTCCCCCTGAGCGGTGCTTAATGGGGTAAAGCATGGCTGACGGTTAAATAGTAATAGGAAGGTAATGGTTGCACTGGCAAAGCAACAGCATGTGGTGGCAAACAATGGGAATTCAGTGAAGACAACAGAAACAGCAGAGGAGCAAGCAAACATTTCCAGAGATCGTGTCCCATGGCAATGTGGCAGCCCCAGACTGTTGCGGTTGGGCATTGTCTGAAGGATTTGAACATGGCGGATTCAGTCAGTCTGTCGTGATTTCCCTTCAAAACAGCTCCATGTTGGGTTTCCCTTGTTGCTTTGCCTCTAAAACGGAGTCCCAAATTCAAAACCCATTCAAATGGAATGTCGTTTCATCCAGTTGAAGCGCCCTTGTAAACTGGGGATCTTTGCCAAGTTTGCTTGGCCATCTGAAACACAGAAAATCATATTCTCCGATTCTGATTCATATTAGCCAACCCTAAAATCCAAAAATAGTTTGGGAGACCTCAGTTTAGTTGACACCTGACATCTCCTTTTGGTTTCGTTTTACATTCCCCGGACAGCCCCAATACCAGTCAACACGGAACCCCACAAAACGAAACGCGTGGTGTGTCTGGGCAATTGTCAGACTTATCCACCAACCCCGTTTCTTTGGGGGCCCCGTTTCTGGTTGCTTGTCAGTGAAAGGATGTGAAACGAGAGTCCAGCCCAGGCAGGCGTGCACCATGAAGACCCCCACCGAGAAGATGTAGAACCTGGGCGTGCGCGCCTTTACGGAGGGGAGGGTACGACCCAAACAGTTACGTCCATTTGCGTTTTCGCGCCCTGGAAAAATTGAAAAAAAATGTAGATTCCTTTTTAAACTAACAGGGGAAAATAACACATACTCCTAAGCAAATGGAAGATTAGAATGGGGGTGTGGGGTGTATTTGGGCGGCTCAAAATGGGGACCTTTGGGGAGCCAGAAGGCAACCAAGTTGTTTGTAGGGCTCCTCAATTTGAGAAACACCCATTTAATGGGGTACCCTACAAAATTGTGCGCTTGTTTCCGTTTGGTTTCCCTTTATTCAATTGTTCAAACCAACCTAAGAGAAGGAATCGAGCCGGAAACAGCACCAACCCACAAATATGAGTCGTGGTCAACATTACGAATGCTCCCCCAAAAGAGACATGAGACATGTAGCCTGGTTTTTGGTGGGCTTCCCTTTTGGTTTCTCTCACCCTACAAAAAACACACACATGTATAGAAGGACCCCTGGTCGAAAACTGCGGTGTTGTGGGAATGCCTTTTGGTTTCCCTCCCCAAAACTTCTTGGTCGAGGGGGCAATGACCACAGGGGGTTCTTGAAGATCTGAAACTCCAGGGCGTAGATATCCCGAACGCCCACTGGCTCGATGCTGCTGTCTTGAGTCCAGAAGAGGTTCCTAGGGCTCCAAGGCTTTTTGCAGCTCAGTCGGTTTTGGGTGATGACCCCTTCGCTTGAACCATTTTTGTGGGTGGGGGCTGATTCCATTTGCGGGGAACCCACCAAACAGAGCTGAACAAGGGCATGGGAAACCACCAGGCACCGTTGGAAACCAGGGCCAAGCACTTGGTGCACGATCTGGGAGAACGAGGGACCTGGAAATCGAAAAAGGGTACCACTGAAGAACTGAGCTTCAGCGACAGGATGCCCCAGAAGTTGATGAGGTACGGAGGCGGACGGACGTAGTAAGGCCCGAACTGATCCGTGTCGCCGAATCGGAACTGGAAGAGGTGGATGGTCATGAAGGTCAGGAGCATCAGACCAGAGATGGCCAGGTTCAGCACATTGATCCCTGCCCATTTGGAGAAAAAAAAGAACACATCTGATTCGCCACTCCTTTTTGGCAGCGGCAGCTAAAGGGAAAAACCACCGGCACCAGGTCGCCACCGCCCTTTTTGGGGGCAAAAAAAAAAAAAGCGCGACGCTTTCGCCCGGCGCCTTGGGTGTTCACCAGCGCCAGCTTCATGTCCCAGGTGCGCTTCAGGCCCACGAAGACGTGCAGCAGCACGCTCAGCAGGATGTACTCCTCCACGATGTTGGCCGGCAGCCCGAAGCCCGTCCAATACAAACGCACGTAGAAGTACCCGTAGCCGTTGAAGTCCTGGAAATCCCAAAAAATGAAAGGCCCTGTACCAAAAGCCTTTACCTTTTTGGGGAAGAAAAAATGGATCTATTCTAGCAAACCAAGTCAGGCCCTGTAACAAAACAGGGCTTTGCCTTTTTGTGGGAGAAAACATGGATTATTTTCTATGTCCAAAACGAGTCAAATAGCACTTGAATCCATGAAATCCCAAAGGATTTTGACCCAACCGAATTGATAAGAAAGAAGAACACACATGTTCCCCCCAAACAAATACAAAAGGTTATATGATCTAAAGATCCGAACACGCTTAAAGATCCGATGTTCTTCCCCCCCCCCAAAAAAAAAAAACTTAAAGCTCCCCAAGGTCAAGACGCATCCGGGCCCTTGAAGACGTGCAAGTTCCCCACGGCGTGGATCACGATGAACAAGATCAGCAGGATGGCGCTGCGGGTGAGGCCCAGGCGGTCGTTGGAGATCTTGATGTTCTTGGCCGTGAAGATCGTGGCGCAGACCTCTCGCCGGTGGACATATGGATGGGTACAAAATCCAGAAATCGCACCACCGTTCAGAAGCCCTGGTTTCGGATGATTCCCTTGTAAATACCAACAAACTGTGGTTTCAACCATGGTTTCCAAGTGGTGCAGGAATTTGTCCATCCACAGTATGTTGAAAAAAGAAGAGGGAAAACATGCGCTGGGGGTTTGTTGGACCCGGGGGCTTGCGGGGAGTCCCATTTGGTGTCCCAGAAACATTGGAGAAGGGGTTGCGGGGAGTCGCAACCGCCAAGAGCATCTTGGTTTTTGAACGGAAGGAGTCTCACGAGCTTTGGGACTCGCCTTTGGATGGGATGAGAAGGAGATTGCCAGGCCCCACCCCCCTTTTCCGAGCAAAAGCTCCTGAGAAGCCTGGGTCACGGCCCAAGAAAAAAGACGAAGCCACAAGTTGGATGGAGCCATTCCCTCATTCCCAAGTCCCAGGACCCAAGGCTCCACCAGAAAACCCACACTGAAACCAGCGGAATCCAATGTTCAACCAAACTGACCAAAGACTGTTTGGGCGTGGTGCCATCCCTTCTCACCGTCTGAGGGAGAGAGCGCTGGTCACCCAGAAAAAAATGGGGGTTTGGAAGCCCCAGAGCATCTCTCTCGGTTCTCATGGAGAAGGATCCCCAGAGCTTAGATCTGCCAAAGGGCAAACCAGGCGTGAGCCCCTGTTGTCCTTCTTAGTGTTTAAGTTTGTTCGGTTTATGAAACATCCTGTCCCTTACTCATTTATTGTGTGCTGTCGTTTACTCACTTCTTTGTCTTTTGGCACAAACAAACAAACAAACAAAAAGTAGGAAACACGGTGCGCGAGTTCTCACCCAACATGTCTTCCACTTCCAAATCCGTCTCCTCGTAGAGCACGGAGAGGAGCAAGAACCAGGTGGCGTTGAAGTAGCTCTTCACCTTGCTTAGTAGTGCTTCCCCCTTACGGAGTGAGGGGGTTAACGGGGTGGGGGGACGGGTTTTGGGAAATCCACCCGGGGGTTCCCAAAAAGACTGCAAGCGCTGGGTTTTTTCGGGGGTCGGTCCCTCACTCCCTGAGCAATTCCAACGAATTGTGTTTCCCAGTTGGATGATGAGGTTCGGTGCAACGAAGAAATTCCGGGAATTGGAGCCTTTTGGTTGGCATGAAGAGGGAAACCAAAAGGAAAACCGACCATCTCAGTGAAATGGACGAATCGAAGGGAATCTGAGATGCCCATCCAGGTGGGTCAAATGGAAACCCCCAATAAACCAAACAAAAACACCTAAAAACCTAGGGAACCGGATTGCTGGGAACCCTAAAAACCCAAGAAAGCACCAGTGTTTTTGTCTTTGTTAAACCAAAAAACTAAGGAACCGGATGGCTGGGAACCCTAAAACCCAAAATCACTTCTTAAAAAAGCAACCAGATGGCTGAGGACCCTACAAAAACCAAAACACCGGGGGAAAAAAAACACTTCTAAGGAGGCCCAAAATTCGAATTTTCTTCCAAGCCCAGGTCGCGTTGATGAGCAGCGCCCCGGGGTTGTCCTCCAAGTCCACCCGCCAGTTGGGCTGCAGGTCCCCGTCCAGGTGACCCCAGGCCTGATGCGACCGCTGGAGAAATGGAGTGACTGAAACGTACGGGGAGGGGGGGGAAGGGGAGGGTGGGGGGTGGGAGGGTAGGGGGGGGGGGGGGAGGGTAGGTGTTTTTTTTTGTTTTTTTGTTTTAATTAAAAAATGATGGAGGAGGGGGAGGGTAGGGTTTTATAAATGATGGATTACTCGGTTGCTTTCTGCGAAGCACAGCTAAATATTTATTTTTTAGTGGTTGGATGGAGAACCCATTAGTTGGCAAAAAGTTAAAGTCCTAACATCCAAGCAAAATGCACCAAAGATTAGGTACTGTGATAATATATGGTTTGATAAGTTGAGGTCGAGAACGGCCCCTATATTAGGTTGCGAAATCTACTTCGCACCACTTTGCGACCATGGGAATGAAACCACGTTTGGCCTGGGGACACTTGAAACCGAGCGCGATAGCTGCAGGAGAAATGGAATGAGCCGTACGGGGAGCCCCTAATAGTTTATGATGGTGGCGAAATCCACGTTGCACGACTTTGCAATGGGATAGGTGGGGCAGGAGAAAAGGAATGAACCAATGTTGAAACCATTGTTTGTTTGTTGGTCGTTACATGGGAATCATACTTTTTCAGGCTTTCTTAGGTGGTGCGAACTGGATTTCGTCCACGGTATGTCAAGGGCGAGAAGTCCCAGGCTTGGGTCCCCTCAAAGGAAACCACCAGTAAGACGGGGGGACGTACTGCGGGTGCTTGCGAACTCCGATGACGCGAAATGGATTTGGCAACCATCAGTATGGAGAGGCGATCCACGCGTTCAACCCGTTTCTTGGCCGGTGTCCCGAAAAAAACCAACCTGCAGAAAATCGGAGAAATGACCTGGAGTTGGTACCCAGCCTTTTTTAGGGCTCAGGGTTGCACTTGTTGATCCCAAGCTAGACTTAAACCCAAGGGTTCCCAAGAAAACAGGGGTAATGAACTATCCCTGGGCTTAAGTCTGTCAAAAGTGGAACCCTGCGTTGCTTGGCTTCCCTTCGAACCAACCTTTAAACATTCGGAGAAAAGCACCTGGGTGTCTTTTTTGGAGTTGGTATCCCACCTTTTTTCAGTGGTGTTCCATGAACACCGAGAGGAAAACCACATTCTTCTTCTGTTGTGTTTTGGGGTACATCCTTTTGAGGATGGCTGCTCAAAATAGGCCAAAGGGCAAACCGTTTTCAGATGGCTCCCCGTTTTCGGAAGCATCCTGTTTGGGTGTGTGTGTGTGTGTGTGTGGGTTTGGGCAGATTTGGAGCTCATCGCCCTTGTCCCTCACATGGACCCCGCACCCAAACAAAACAGAGAGACCACCCCAAGCAGGAGTTGAATTATAAAACGTACCTAGGCTGACATTCAGCTGGACTTGCTGGGTGTTCACTCCCCAAATAGAACACATGTCACAAGTGTCCCCTAGGGGCCACTTTGTGCTGGTACCTCCTGGAATACCAGTCAAAAAAGTACACGTCTTTGCCGAGTGCGAAGGTTTTGTGGGTTTTTGCTGGTTCGCGGAGAAACCGTCATCCAAAAGACGGCAAGGTTAGCTCGGCCAAAGGTCTTGTCTCCAATTGAGGAACCTCCAACACGCCAAGGCTTCAACGACTTCTGGCAACCTGACTGAACTTATGTAGTTCATCGTCTGCCGTACCTGAGGCACCGCTATAACGGTTTTAAGATCCCATATGAGGGGTTGACGACCATCCCGACCAACCTCGAGGGGTGTGGATTCTCAAGTTGCCTGCCAAACAACAAAATTGTTTGGCAAGTTCATACCAAAGACTCTGCGAAGCAGCTGCAAAACTTGCACATCAAATCCATGCTAAAACATATGAAGCATATACATTAGGCTGTCCTCAGATCCCCTGCCAAAAGCTGTTTTTTTTTTGCATTTAGTGGGTCAAATGAAAACCCCCACTACACCGACTAAAAACCTGAAAATTTCAGGAACCAGAGTTCACAACCCACTGCCATGGCGCGTGGTGGTTCGCCAGCTTGCCGCCCAGGTCCTTCCTGGCCGGCGCGCCGCCCGCCTTCGCCCCTGTGGCCACCGCGCCCGCGGGCGCGCCGCTGCCCACCACGCCGATCACGGCGTCGGGGGCGTACTTGCCGATGACGTCCGGCGGGTGGATCCTTGGGCCCCGGAAATCAGAGAGCTTCACGAAACAGGCGGAAGCCAGAACTTTGTCTTGAGAAGCCAGAAACCGGAAGAAGCCATATTGGTTTGTCGCAACATGTGTTTCCAGAAGTCGCAAGGTTGAAGCCACGGGAATGTCCAACAGCTTCAAAGTTTGAGGCACCTGCAGCCTGATTTTGGACGGCATTTCACGGCGGAAGAAAGCTACAGGAAAATATCCAGGAAGTTGAGCTAGCACCCCCAAAAGAAACGTAACAGGGATAATATCAGCCAACCACCCATATATATATATATATATGTTATACTAAAAGCAAGAAAAAACACATGAAACAGTAACCTATTTGACTAGATGAGAGATGCCGGTGCCCTGATCCTTGCGGGTCAAAGGGCTGCCCCCCATTTTGTATGGTACTTTTTGCGGTGCCTCCAAAAGGGGAACCCCTCCGGGGCCGCTCCGCTTCCCAAGTGACTAACAACAGTACCCACAGTGACTAACAAAAAAGAACCTGCCGCGACCCGACCCAGCAACCCCCCGACGACCCGCTGCCTACCCGCAAGTCAAGAGGCATGTTGAACTCCTCCGTGGCATCCTTGCCGGCGAAGGTCAGGATCGCCAACTCGCCGCCCGGGTGATCGCCCAAGAAACTGGTCACATCCAGCACCTGGCCTGACACAACCACCCAGCAATCCGTCTTGGAGCTGTGCTTGGCCACCTGCGAAGTTGTGGCCAAAAACATGGACCTCTGGTGCCACCTTGTGCTAACTCGTAGGGAGGAACAACAAAAAAGGACCCGAATTCTGTCAAACCCCACCTCCTCCATAGGAATGCCGCCTGCCACGGCACCCCCGCCACCTCCACCGGCAACTGCTCCACCACCGCCGCCGCCACCAATCATGCCAATGACGGAGTCCGGAGCATACTTGCCAATCACATCTGGAGGATGAATCCTTTTCGTGTCACTCTACAAGCTCGCTGGCTTCAACATGCAGTTTGAAGAGAACATGTTGAGGAAGCTACATCCCAATATGCTGCCAGTGCAGTCAAGAAGCATGTTGAACTCCTCCGTGGCATCCTTGCCGGCGAAGGTCAGGATTGCCAACTCGCCGCCCGGATGCTCGCTCAAGAAACTGGTCACATCCAGCACCTGGCCTGACACCACCACCCAGCAATCACTCTTGCTGGTATGCTTGGCAACTTCCTCCATGCTATAGCCGCCGCCACCGCCACCGCCGGCCGGTGCGCCTGCGGCCCCCGCGGTGGCCGTGTTCATCTTGTCCTCGTAGGAGCCGCCGGCCAACTTGGAGCTTTCCACTGCGCCCGTCAGGCCGCCCCCGGTGACGTCCTTGAGATCCACGTCCTTCATGTCAGCGCCCAGCATGTACTTCGCCGCCGCCTTGCCGGCCACGCGCCCAAAGACTACGCAATCCAACCTGGCACAGAAAAGAATGAGGTAACCCCAAAACGAGCGAAAACCAGTGGGGGGTTGGTGCAACAGTGCTCCGTCCAGAAGAAGCGGGGAGAAACACAGAGACACAATCCACACCTTGCAGAACTATGGGTTCATCAGGAGCGACCCCCATGGGATCCTTTTTGTTTGGGTTTGGGATCGGGACATCCACAAATCCACCAGGTGTATCAACTCTTGCTTGAAAGCATAAAGCTGCTCAAACGGAACAGAACAAACACACACACACAAACACAAGCACAAACACACACACACACACACACACACACACACACACACACACACACACACACACACACACACACACACACACACACACACACACACACACACACACACTCACTCACTCACTCACTCACTCACTCACTCACTCACTCACTCACTCACTCCCTCCCTCACTCACTCACTCACTCACTCACTCACTCACACACACACACACACACACACAACCGCAAAAAAGAATGTTTGCGCGACAACGCTCCAGAAAAACAGCACGTGTTCCAAAACCAAACGGCCGAGCCACAAGGAGTTGCCCCCGAGGCGGTTGTTGCCATGCACGCCGCCCGCCACCTCCCCTGCCGCATAGAGCCCAGGGATGGCCTGTCCGGACAAACATGCGCAAAGGCGTCCCAAGAAGACATGGGCGTGTCGCGCAATGCAGTAGGAACCTCACAAAAGGGTTGGTGTCCTTTCGGTGTCCCTTTGACTACCCACCTAAAGGCGGTCCTTAAGATGGGCTTGGCTCAACATTAGGTGACTTGGTGTCCCCTTGGTTAAGCCCACCCCCGAAAGGGCAAAGACAGACTCGCATGGGACAATTCAAGTCTCGACTTCTGGGTTTTGGTCCCCCCCTTCTCGTCCTCCCCAAACGAACCGTCTGCCAACAATGGCAGCTCATTGCCTGGTTGTTGGGTCCCACACAGGCGGAGTCCGTATCGATGAGCAGGCCGCCCATGCAATAATGGATCACCGGGGTGATGATGGCCACCTAGGCCCAACCGCAGCTAGGGGGAAGCATCGGAAGCCTCAAGTTATCCCCGAAAATGTGTGGTGGTGGTTGACCAGTTCTTGGCCACACCTAAATTGCAATAGATAGCTTTGTCTCAAAATATGAAACCCTCGGAATAAGTTGTTTCCATTTGGAATTTAGGCACGGAACATGAATTATGGTCTAGTTCAACGGTTCTGTTTCATATGTATATATATATATAGTCTACCCAAAAAATGTAAAACAGTTTCGGTGGTTCTGTTTCATATGTTGTCTACCCCAAAATATACAACAGTTTCGGAGGAGGCGCCAGAAATGTTGCGGATAGCCCATCAAATAAAAAGGGGAGAAACCTGCCACTGGGTAGATGACACTGATCAATGCCTAGAACTCAATGTGGATCATGTGAAAAGCCAAAGTGACTTTGTTTGAGGCCCCCCAGTGATCGGCAAGCATGCTCACTTTTTGCAGGGCTGCAAAAGCCTAGTTGGTGGTAGAAGCGAAACTTGTTTGCTGGTTTGTGGAGGGGCCGCCTCGCACCACCACTGCACGTGGCCATGTGGAAAGTATCAAGGTGTGCCTTATGACTACGTAGAAAGAATTCCCTTCGAACCGCAGAAAGTGACCCCATAAACTTGCAATGTTGCACAACCATGCCGCCATGGAAAAAATATGGGCGGCTGAGACATTCGTGCTTACGGCCAGGTCTCGTAGAAGGGCTCGTTCTTCACGCAAGAGCCGGGGATGATGTTGTGGTAGAACTTCCTCGCACAGTGCAGATTTGTTTTTTCCTGGGAGGGACACCCAGCCCGCCAGAAATTGACTTGCCCCCCGTGTTCCCGTCCGGTCCAGTCAGAAAGACATTGAAACCCGCATTCCGCCACCCCCCCCTAAAAAAAAAGAAGAACAAATGCGAAAACCGTTTAAACACACACACACACAATCAACACAAATGCAACAAATAGAGACGTCAGCCATCAAAACCTCCGCTGCTTTACCCTCACCGGGCGTCTTGCCGCTGCCGGTCTTGCCGCTGGCCTCGTGAACTGGCAACCGAAACCCCCAATCCCAATTGGCACACAAAATCGGGCCTGAAAGGGCCCACCTTACAAAATAAGCCACGAGCATGGTACAGAAAAACAGATGGTCTGGCCTTTTCTGTGTTTAGTCAATTCACAAACCTCTTCGAGGAGACCCCAGAATGGTTGGGTGGTCTTCAACCTTAAAATCAAAAATATGTTTGGAGTGCACCTCCACAGTACATAATATAATATTTATGTACACATTCTCTTGAAACCTGGTATGCAATCTGCTAGCCCCAAACTGGTGTTATTCTTGGTGTCCAACTAAAACAAGCACACCAAAAAGCTACCCCCAAACGGGTGTTCTTGTTGGCTTCCAACTAAAACATGCACCCCAAAACGAGAGAGTTCCCCCACAAAAAAAACAAAGACGAGAAACACGTGAACAAAAACCAACCTCTGGTGTGTCGAGCTTTCGACAATCCCGCCTCATCCCAAGACTTTCCGGAGGGGTAGGCAGGCCATGGCCCTGCGTCCGGCTGCGTCTCCGTCTTCTTGGCCGCGGCGTAGTGCTCCTCGTGGGTCTGCTCGATCACCGACAAGGCCACGCCCATGTCCTGAAGGCAGGCTGGGTTTACGCACCGAAAAGCCCGGAAGGGAACACATTCAGCGACCTTGAGGTGTGCACCCACCAAAAGCCAAGGGAACACATTGATGAGAGACCTCGAGTCAAGCGTTCAGCACCGGAAGCTCGACCCATCCTTGGGATTTCCAGTTGGACTTTCCCTCTTGGGTCAGTTGGGCTCCTTGGCCAAGGCCTCTCCGTTCTCGTAGAACTTCATCACCCCTCGGCCTGTGTAGTGCTTGCAGTGCCAAATGATCTCATCGGAGGACGCCTTGTTCAAGCACAGCCGGAAGGGCGGCTTGCCTCAATCGCGACTGCGTGAGTGAGGGCTTGGTGAGAATAGTTTACGGGACAGGGCACAATGCAAAGAAAATGAGTGAGGCCCCCCATGTCCCTGCCACAAGTGACCCTTGGCATGTGCCGATGGCCTTACTGGCTCACGCCAACACGGGATACGGTGGCACGCAAAACACCTGGTCCAAAGAAAACCTGCGGCCGCCAAAGAAATCTTCAATACGTGAATCCAAAGGATTGGGCCACGTAAAAATGGGTGGTTTGCTTTGACCCCCCCAATGGCGTCAACATGTTGCAAGCCTGGTATTGTCAAACTCCATTTGTGGGCCATGGTGGTGTTTCCCTCAATATGCCAAATGGGTCTACCATTCTTAGTCGCCACACGCACACACCCCTTCTGATTCCCTGAACAACTCCTCGTTTTGTGGTTTTCCCCTTTTTTTTGCGGGGCCCGGGTGCTCTTCCACATCTCCCCGGTGACGTAATCTCTGCGCCCCAGCTCGTTGCAGAAGCGCTTCCCCTCCGCGTTCAAGATGATGCCCCCCACGCCGCGCAGGGCCTCCGCGGCCAGGAACTTGATCTTGGCGTCCGCGTCATCCGGCTTCACCAGGCCCGTGGGATGCACCTCGAGACGGGGAGCGAGGGAGCGAGCGACATGGGAGGTGGGCTGGCGAGCGAGCCGGGCCTTGTTTGGAGGCTCTCGGTCACCCTCGGTGTGTTGAAGGAAAATCAAAAAACCACTTTGGGGGGGGTCCCTCTAATGAAAGACACCAGTAGGTATTGAAATGCTTGTAAAGGTAAGCCCAGCAATCCCAGCAACTTGCGCCGTGGGAACTCCCACCCCCCCCCACCAACCCACCCTGCATTGGCGCTCACTGATTTGGGTCCTGGTCCAAGCTTACTCTTGGTTTAGACTTGGTTCCCATGCCCCTCCCCAACCCCACCCTCCACCCGTCCTGGACCCACTCGAGGTCGATACTCTTGGCACCGATGGCCTGACAACTGCGGTGACGCCTACTTTTTTCGAGGGTTTCCAATTTGCTCGGGGTGGTTTTCTGCGAAACCATAAAACAACCATCACCGGGGTCTCCTACAACAGGAGAAGACCCAACTATGCAAATCTGGCCTCGCCCATCTTGATGCCGTCCCCGGTGCAGTGCTCTCCGTTGGTGGTGGGCAAGTGCAGCAGGTCCGGCCTGAGACGTCGCGAGTCGTTTGGCGGGCCCAAGCGGCGTACCGAAAAATTGGAGATGGATTTTTTTGAGAATCGACATGGGACTTGGTGGGGAACTGGACTTGGTGAATGTGTGTGAGAGTTTTGAGGCTTACGCTTGTCACCTGGAAGCTTGCGATTCCAAGAGAAAAAAGAAGAAGAAAAAAACATGTTGGGGTCCCCATATGTTGACAGGTGCTTAATTGGAAATGAACCCCTTTGGCAGCCACATTGACCGAATCGGTTCCTTCTTTGTTTGTTGAATTTAAAGGGCTGACTCGCTAATCATTGGAAATGAATCTTTTGTCACTGGCGGACATTGCGCCGAAACCAAGGAAGTCCCACCTCCCACTTCCCATTTCCGCGCGCCTGTACTGCGCCAGCAGGGAGTTGCTGGTGAAGTCCGCCCCAAATCCTCCGGAGGCCAGGATCACCGGTCCGAACTCCTCGGATCCGAGGCGGAGATCGAGTCTTGGCGACTGCTCCCCCCAGAACTGGTCTGCCCGTTTTCGGATCCGCGAAAGGCGATCTCCGTTTTCGGGTGAAGAAGATTGGAAATCCCTAAACGATGGAAAAAGTTAGAGGGAAAAAAAAGCTGAGGAACCAGATGGGGTTGGAGCCACCAAGAGACGACTCCATGGAAGCTCCTCGGACCCCGAAATGGAAGCTTGACCCATTTACAGAGGTCAATTCAGGGAGCTTCCGGCGGCTGGTCTGAGGGAGGATTTGACTTTGGGCTTCCCTTTAAAACCCCAAAGGAAACCTCCCCGTTTTCTGAGACGCACCCAACTGAGGGGCTCCAAAAAAAATTCCAGCTTGGCGGTTCCCTAAAAAAAAGATATCTCCGGGTTCCCCAAAAGTCGGATTTGGATTTCGCCCATCGGCTCCCGAAAACCTCCGACACGACCAAAACCCGGCTAGCCGAACCCGGATCGAACTTTAGTCCTGGAAGTTCTGGCCGCCCTTCTCGTAGACGCAGCCCACGCAGGCCTTGCCCTCCTAAAGGCGCGAACGGAAATCGATGCCCTCACTGCCTAGGGTTTCAGGGGGGGAAACACGGGGGAGAAACCCCACCCAAAGAACCGCGGTGAAAAATGAGCCTACCAAAAAAAACGCCAAACAAAAAGTGTTGAGACAATGAGCCGACCAAAAAAAACGTGTTGAACAATGTGGTCACAAGGAAAAGCAGGGGAGCAACCCTGGGCTCACCGCTTCTTTGAACACTCTCAAGAGGAACCTCTCCTGGATCAGCTTGACGACCTTGGCCTTGGTGACGATGCGCGCCAGGTCAGTCTTCTCGGCCACCTAACTTGGATTACGCAGCCGCTGCTTGGGGTGTTCTTTGAGGCGCCCGCCTAAGAAAGACTTGCGATCGCTACCACCAGTTGGATGGTTTACAAGTGTCGCTCCCTTATTCCCTGCCTATCGCACCAGCAAGAAGAGAGACAATCCATGCTTGATCAAACCTCCAACGTGTCCAAATGCTAGTGGACAAAAAGGCCCCCCATTTCTGTGAGGCGATCCGTCTCTCGGGGATGATATTGACATCGCACGAAAAGTATGCAAAGATTCAAAAGGCACCATGCAAACCTGCCCAAGGGGAAACTCGCGAAATGATGCCCATGGCAGAAAAGGGACATTGGCGGCTTGTATTGCCCTGCTTCAAGAAGCCGCTAAGAAAAAAAGGGGCTCCTATCCCATAATTGCACAGTCTCATAACTCCCGTTTGGTCAGGAAGATCCAGGAAGCAAAGACGGCCCACATGACATTCGACCCCATCTCATGCATCGCAGCCTTCTTTTCCAGCTTCCCCGCTTTCCCACCGCTTCTGGCCTTCAAAATATGTTTCCCCTCTCAGGCAGTCTCTGAAAGGACCGCCCCCACCGCCCACCCACACACAAAAAAAGGGAGAATCAAAGAGAAGCCACCCCGGTCCCCTACTTTTGACATAGAGAGAGAGAGAGAAAAAAAAAAGAGAGTAAGACATTGAGAGAGTGAGTGAGTGAGTGAGTGAGTGAGTGAGTGAGTGAGTGAGTGAGTGAGTGAGTGAGTGAGTGAGTGAGTGAGTGAGTGAGTGAGTGAGTGAGTGAGTGAGTGAGTGAGTGAGTGAGTGAGTGAGTGAGTGAGTGAGTGAGTGAGTGAGTGAGTGAGTGAGTGAGTGAGTGAGTGAGTGAGTGAGTGAGTGAGTGAGTGAGTGAGTGAGTGAGTGAGTGAGTGAGTGAGTGAGTGAGTGAGTGAGTGAGTGAGTGAGTGAGTGAGTGAGTGAGTGAGTGAGTGAGTGAGTGAGTGAGTGAGTGAGTGAGTGAGTGAGTGAGTGAGTGAGTGAGTGAGTGAGTGAGTGAGTGAGTGAGTGAGTGAGTGAGTGAGTGAGTGAGTGAGTGAGTGAGTGAGTGAGTGAGTGAGTGAGTGAGTGAGTGAGTGAGTGAGTGAGTGAGTGAGTGAGTGAGTGAGTGAGTGAGTGAGTGAGTGAGTGAGTGGTGGAGTGGGTGGGTGTGGTGTGGTGGGTGGTGGGGTGAGTGGGGGGGAGGGGGGAGGGGGGAGTGGGGAGTGGGGAGTGGGGAGTGGGGAGTGGGGAGTGGGGAGTGGGGAGTGGGGAGTGGGGAGTGGGGAGTGGGGAGTGGGGAGTGTGGAGTGTGGAGTGTGGAGTGTGGAGTGTGGAGAGTGGAGAGTGGGGAGTGGGGAGTGTGGAGTGTGGAGTGTGGAGTGTGGAGTGTGGAGAGTGGAGAGTGGAGAGTGGAGTGTGGAGAGTGGAGAGTGGAGAGTGGAGAGTGGAGAGTGGAGTGTGGAGAGTGGAGTGCGCAGAGTGGAGAGTGGAGTGAGTGAGTGACTGAGAGAGACGGAGAGAAAGAAAGAGAGACTTCCCCGCCTTCTCCAACATCTGGATCAGCGCATAGGTGATGGTCATCCCCGGGAAGCGCTCCTTACCTCGGTGGGTCCGCGGCTGCGAGTGGCCACCCAGGCGTGCCAGCAGCGACAGGTCCAGGTTGAACTTCTCCACCAGCCAGTCCACGTCCGACGCGCTGTTCACGCACCTGAATACTTGGTTGCTGCAACGACCCCCCTGCAAAAAGTCTAACTTTTTGGGGGTTTAGTGGAAAACCCCTTGATTTCAACCGAAAAGTTAAAGTCTAAAGATCCAACCCAATAGCAGTCAAGTGAACTTGCGATCGCTGCGAAAAGTAGGGAATGTGGGAAGAACCCAGGGGTCCCCTTGAAAAAGCCACCAGCAAGGGATGGTTTATACAAGTCATTCCCTCATTCCCTACTTATCGCACCAGCAAGTGAAGCCAGAAGCTGGAAGCCCCAAGCCGTCCCCCGAAGTGGCTTCTTTTTTTCGCGCCCGGTTTGGAGGTGGGGTGTGGAAAATTACACACTTACCTGAAAAGCGGCTCAAAGTCAACCACCAAGCCACACCACCACCAACTAAGGGTTTTGCTGTTTGTAGCGGTTTCTGCAAGAAACTGGACCAATCTGAGGAGCTGACTTTTGAGCAAGTGCCCTGTGCTTCAACCACCAACTTTGGCTCACCCGACTTACAAACCACCCTGCCTGCTCCCCTGCGGACTAATTGAAACAAAAGAAACAAGAAGCGTCAGCAAGAATCTCCTTCGAATCCTTTGGAGCGTTTTACACGTGCAGGGATTCTGGCATTGTTCACCTGAACATGATCCTCAAAATGTTGGCTTCCTTTGCAAAAGGCCAACGTCGATGTTTGAAACCCTCTTGACATCTTTTGGTGTGTGATACCGGTGTGGCTCAAAACTGGGCCAAATATGCTTCGCTTCAGGGTGCCTTCCATCATATGATGACGCCGGACAGTTTGGAAAGTTGAGTCCTGGTCCCCCTGGAGCTTCGAGGTTTCACTTGTTGAAACTATCTGATTCGGATGTTTGCTTATGTCGCGCCAGTCAGTACTCATTGTGCTCCCAATTGACATGGGATTTTGGTGAGCGCCCTTCTGCAAATGACCCTTCTAGGTATTGACCCTTGCTCACATCTTCATTGTGACATGGTGGGCAACATTGGGCAAACTGAGCCACAAACAGGATACAAGAATACAGTTCATTCTGAACAGTCGGTACCACCAGGGTGAGCTACCCCAGCGGGCATTTCACCCCCCCCCCCTCCCCACAAAGTTGCAAAAAATCGATGATATACATTGCTTGATTCCCACCCACTAGGGTTAAAAAGCAACGGAACACTCAGCAAGCAGCAACAAATTTGCAGATGTGAGCTACCAACAGTCCCACCTTGTCATCCTTTCTGTTCATGGGTCCATGGGTCAAAAAGAAGAAACTCACACGAGCCCAACCTCACATCTGGCCTCTCAAAATTAGGACGCGGGTCCGTCTCCAAAGAGAAAAAATGGAACGGGGGTTGCTTTGATTGCCAATTAAAAAACTAACCCCCCTGTGAGCATCACACCAAAAGCACTTCAACTTGCCCGAGTGGTCTTTAAAGCCACCCCTTTTTGGGACAAACATCATCAAATCTGAAACAACTCCACCAAGTTCCAAGCTTATCTCCCTTTGTTCACTTATAGCAACCCAAGTGATGAACTATGTTTTTCAAAAGTAAGAACAGGTGGTATCCCCAACAGCCCCGGAACCCGCCGGAACCCTATCGGGGGAGATTTAGACCCCATAGCTTTCAGCTGTCGGCATCAACAAAGGGGAAACACAAAAAAATATATAAGCCAAAACACAATACATATATACATATATATATATATATATACACATATATGTATGTATGTATGTATATATATATATGTACATATACATATAGTATATACATATACATGTATGTGTATATATATATAGAAAAGCCTTTAAAGAAAAAAAAAAGGAAAAACAAAAAAAGGCACGACATCTTCATTCCGGGCGCAAGAGCTTGGCCAGCTCCGGCTTCTTAGCGCCGCCCTTCAGGGTGTCCTTCCAACGCCGCCCAAACCAAACGCAGCCTTCGGGTCAAGGATGGCCACTAGACACTCACGAGCCCCGAACCACCAGGAAGAACTGGGGCACATACCCTTTGCATGTCGCGATGGTGGCTAGATGGTGGCTGTCGTTTACCATGAACCACCTGAGCCATAGTCAAACAAAAGGGGTAAGGGATGTCTATGGTCCATGGTTCAGCATGGCTTCTCCAGGAAAAATGCAAGATGACTAACGTCAATTCGGTATGGACCTCTGAAAAATGGTGTGAACATCATTTTGGCTGCCCCTTGAAGGGAAAGTCAAAGGGCTTCAGCAAATTTTGACATCCCCACACGCACAACAGAATCATTGATTGAGCATTCTCAAAATTAGGGCTTTCCTGAGGGACGTCCATGATCAAAACCATGCGTATTGATTTCCCTGTGGTTGAAGCTGAACATTGCAGGCGTCCCCTTCAAAGGGGACTGGACGGCAAGGAACTAATTGCTCGCTGCACCCAACGTGTGCCCCGGGCTCAGGACAAATGACACTTGTCACACCAAACTGGGCCATCCCTACCGATTTGTCATTGAACAAAAACAACTGGCGTCTGCCACTGGAGTACCGGGGGGTCGGGACCCTCATTGTCAATCGGTGGTTTGCCTGGTTGCCTGCTATACTTTCAAAGTATAGTGTGGTTTCTTACTCCCTTGCCAAAAGCTTTGTCCAGCGAGATATGTCATAAATTCCTCTAGTCTCTATGATCTAAAAGTCTTAGTTGGCACTGGAACCCGGGAAGTAATGATAGTGGCAGCCGCAATAATTAGTCGCCAACGCAACCTTCCGCCCCTCATATGCCGCCAATTGCAAAATTTATCCACACGGAAAATCCCCCCAAAAAGGAGACTCCACGGGACCCAAACCGATTTGCGATTGGAGCAAACGCTCCTCCGTGGCCGCCGCATGCCGCTCTTCGCTAGGTCCAGTAGAGAGCTTCGAATAAGGGTACCAACTTTTTCCCAAAAAAGAAACGGTAAAAGGGGCACTACTGGATCTTGTTTTTTCTGGCTCCTGGGTGAAGATGTCGGCGTTGTCGGGGATGCCTTTGGCCTTCTGGGTCTTGGTGCCTGCCCCGTTGATGCCGGAGGTGGCCTTCGTGCTGTTGCCACCACCTCGCACCGCGAGTTCCGAAGATTGCGGAAGTGCGGGTGGCCGGGGGAGAGTTCTAGGGGTACCTTCCCCATTCTTTCCAGGGATCCTTCTTTTCATCAAAAACCCAGGGGAAACAGCCGGTTTTTGAAAAGAACGATGGTTGAAAAGAATGGGGAATCAACCTCCAGAAGAGCGGGGAGAATGGCCCAAAATGGGCCAGCTGGATGTTGGGGTGGTGAAGGAGAAGTGAAACGAAAGGGCGGTTGGTAGGGGGTTCACACCCTGAAGAAACACTCATAAGTATCATGCAAGTTTTTTCAGAGAAACAATCTGTGGGGATTGCACGACTGGAACAGCACGGGCAAAAAGGGAACACTGCGCCAGCAACAGCTGAACTTCTCACAAGACGGACAGTGGCAGCAAATCAGTGCTCCGAATGTTGAAAAAAGGGTGCCGAACCAACCGTCGAGCCGGGTTAGAAGCAGGAACAACTGATTTTAAGGGGGTCTGAGTGCCACACAGTAGCCAAGCAGACACCTACTGTTGCGTCTTGCCACGGTAAATCGCAAGCACCACAAAACTATTTGTGTTGTGGGGGCTGAGTCCCGAAATATCTTAACACATACCCTAATGAATGCTCCCGTGTGGGAGGGTGAAAAAAGAATCAAAGCGTCGCCATGTGTTGTCCCCAAAAATATTTTGACGCGTGGAGATGTGTCTCTTTAAAAACAGGGGACCCTAAACCACGTGGTGTTCCTTGTGGTTGTCCTTTTAGCCGACCTGTTAAAAGGGTGCCCTTAAAAAACACACACCCCACACGCCCTTACACACCCTTCTATCTCTGCAGGAGTTTCCATAAATTGGACCGGTTGGTCTTGTTTGCTCTCCCCCCCCCACCCCCCACCGGTCGGTCCATCCTCATGAAGGGTGGGCTCAATGTGCAGTCTGGCCACAGTCAGGGCATTAGCCATTTGCGGGCGTGCCCGAGCTGTGCTGGGGTCAAAAAAGGTGATTAAGCCGGCCACTTCTTGTTTGGTCGTGCTTCTCCCGCCAAATTTTCGGGGTGCCTAGGGGGTCTGGACAATCATTCCAATTACCAATCTTTTCTCGGTTGCTTTCTGCTCCCCTGCTAAAAGTTTAACTTTTAGTGGTTTAATTCGGAGAACCCATTCGTTGGCAAAAAGTTAAAGTCCGAACATCCCTTGGCAAAATGCGCCAGAGAGTTGCTTTGGTTCCTGCTGATGTCCCTTCAAAAATCTCACTTCAAAAATCTCACCCCCAAAAAAAACGAACACCCCAAAAAAAGGCAGACCTATTTGGTTGACGCAAAGAACATCTCCATCGAGATGGGTTGCTTCGACCAGGCTACAGAAGGAGGACTTGTCCAGCAGGACCACCCGCCCGCCGTTCTCCACCACGGTGTTGGCGGCCGACATGCCGCCCAGGCCGCCCCCCACCACAATCGCCTGGTTCCTCAATTCGAATCGGATCCGACCAACAAACATAGGTGTCCTTTTCGGAAAATAGATGGCCTTGGTAGATGATTGAACCACCAGGTAAACCAGGGACTTCCACTTTTAGGCAAACCAACCAAACAGGACACCTATGCGAACAAAAACCCTCCCACCAATGAACATGGAACCTGCCAGGGGCTCCTGGAAGGCAATTTTCTCCTTTTGAAGGGTAAATACTTAGAAGGGGGTGTGGACTATGTCAAAACCACGTTCGCTCGTGATCTGTATGGAGCAAACTATTGGTAAAAACAAATCGCCCCTCCTATAAATCCCCGGCCAAAAAATTGGTGACCTTTGCGCTGGCTGAAAGAGAAAGTGGAGAAATATCAAAGGCAAAAGTAAAACAGCTTACCTTGAAGGCTTATGTTGATGGTCAACCCACTCTACTAAGAAGGCTGTACCCATGGGGTCCAACGAGAACAAAAAGGGCTAAGCGACGTCTACCTCAGCTTTTGCGCCTAACCCCAGAAAAAACAATCTCGATTCTCCATACTTGATGAACCTCAACATGTAATTAATCGAAAGAGATCCCAAGGGACTCAACCAGGGCTATTCATCCAGGGTTCCTACTGTGGATGGTTGCCAAATCCATTTCGCACACGCAGAAACCCTGGTTTCTGATTCGATTCCCCCACGCAAATACAAGAACAAGCAGCGGCTTCATTCCAATGGCCACTCATTCCGTGGCTCTTGATTTCGATTTCGATTTCGGTGGCGGTTTGATTTCGTCCACCCCTCGGTTGCAAAGCGGTGATCCATTTCTGGATCTCGCAACATCCGGGCGAATTATCATATTTCACCAGCCTGAAATAAGGTGGTTTGGGGTTGGGGGCTATTCCCCACATAAACCACCATTTGGGGTGAATTTGGTCGTGTGAGGTCGTTATAATTCACCCAGAACCAGCCACAGTGCCTCACTTGCCTCAACCTTCGCCAACGCCCCCCCCCCCGGCCGAAGCTCGTCGGGAAGCTCGTCGCCATGGCGGTCAACCGCTCGATCCCCGGCTTCTAAAAGCCGCTGCTTCTAAGACCGAAACGAAGAAACCCAACTTGGGCCGAAAAGGCCCGCCGGAATTTGGCGTTTTCACGTGTCAGAATCGGGCGAACAAAAGTGTCAGAGTTCTATGGTGACATTTTGATCTCGTCGCAACTCCCTGTTGGGTAGTACATCTAGGTCCTCCAGTGGAGAGGGTAGGATAAGGGTACAAACTTTCTTCTGTAGTCTATTTTAGTAGGGGAACCCTCCCCCAAAAAAGAGTAAAAGGGCACTACCGAGGGACCTAGATGATGGACATACGGCGCTCTCAACTCAAAACATCGAAGGCAACTCACCTTGGCCCACAAAGGTGGAAATGGGCCTCTTGTTTTGGAGGTTTCAAAGGGCAACCAACGGGAAAAACCACCACTTGTGGAGCTTCCCCCTATTTTGCAACACGCCAAATTTGGTGGTTTCCCCTGTTTCCCGTACCCCCCCAAAAAAAACAACAACACACACACAAACTAAAAAACAAAAAACGATGCGTTGCGGTTTCGTCGCACCCGAAGCGTTCTTGCTCTCGTGGCCTCCTCCGTCGGCCTCGCCAGGCTCTTCAAGTGCGCAATCTGCCCGGTGAGGTTCACGTACCTCTCGCCAACTGAAATCGAAGGGTTTTTGTATCAGAGGCTCCTGGAGTTCCAAGAAATGCGGCTGTGTGTTAAAACCAATGGGATCCCATTTTGGGGTCGGTGAATTCACCACCCATTTTAGTCCATTTGAGTGGGAATTGGAATGTTTACTGGGGGTACGGGGCGTTCAATGGAAGACCCGACCCATTGGACACCCCGGGAATCGGTGGTTGGGACCCGGTCTCAAAACCAGGTTCTTAGGCCCTAAATCAATCGAATTGGAGCCTCTGAGTCACACCCTATAAATACACCCACTGGCTTCCATTTGGTTAAGACCCCTGGAAAAAATGAGAAAAATATTTGTCCGGTAGTGATAGTGTCCCTGTAAAACCAACAGGGGAAAATACAAAATATCCCTAAGCAAATGGAAGCTGGGTATTGACCCCATTAAGGCACATTTCCGGAAATACGACCGTGTTATTTTGAACCATTCCCAAGGTCATTTCCCAAGAGGTAGTCCCAGGGTGTAATACAAAACCGTCAGAGGGAAAGGGCTCCGCAGACGGGCTGCGGCGTGGGGGACGTGGGGAGATGGTGACTCGTGGGCACGTGAGGGCGTGAGGGGGGTGCAATGAGGTTGGACTTCCTGTTGGTTGTTTAGGTTTTGTGTTGGGGGTGCAAAGGTTGTTTGGGTTGTGGTTGGATGTGATTGGGACGGGCGGCTCTGCAGATCTCCGGCAGTCAATAGGTATTTATCCTTGCGGTTCAAGAGTCAATCAATGTCGGAAAGAAATCCAGAATGAAAGCAAGGCGGGAAGCAACGGAAAACAACATCCACATTCAAGCATTCACCAGAGCACTGAATGATACCATCGATACTGTTGATCAGCACAAGTCTGCGAGCGAGCAGGCTGATCGCACTTGTCCGAACGTTGCAGGGAATGAACAAGTTGATTGCTGCGGTATTCGAAACACCAGCTGCAATGGAAGTGCGGCAACCCCAAACGCTGCACACAATTCCTGGAACGCCTAAAGGTCACAATGGAAGGTCAATGAGACGTCCTGTTGAGGATCGAAATCCTCCCATCAATGAGGAACATGGACAAGGAAATCACCTTTGAACTAAATGGAAAACAACTCCTCGGGCTGCGTACATGCTTTCGAAAACACACTTTTCATCACCTCACCAGACCAGACTTGGACATGCGAAAATTGGCCCCTGTCTCACTGAACCCTTGATCCTCCTTGTCCATACACCCCGTGCCCGGATTGAAAGGGGCAAAGCTTCCATGGGGCTCCCTTGGGCAGCTGCTGCTCCGTGTTCAAGGGCCTTTCGGAAGGACTTCACCTGAAGGCCTGCAGCCAGGATCTTTTGATTGGTTTCTCTCTGGTCGTTTGACTTGCGCCTTTTTTTTTTGGGGGAAGTGGATGCTTCCCTTGCAAAAAAAAAGAGGTCCGGTTCACCCAAACTGCAAACATGTGAGTCTCTGGTCTCTTGTCATTTTGGACTTCGTGGCCTCCCCTTGTTCCTCCCCTTCCCTTCATGATTAGAGTTAGGCCCAGTAGAATGAACCTTTTATTGGTTGCTTCACTAGTCACTGGTATGTAAAAAAATGTCCTAAGTCTACCCCTTCCCTTGGCGCGGCCCTTTCACCCGACCAAAACATTCCCTTGGCGCCTGGGACCCTTCCCCGCCCTTCGCCGCCGGGGCGCTGGGAGCCGCTGCGCTTGCTGGCGGAGGTCTCCGCCATGGGATGCTCCACCTCGAGTCGGCTTGTCCCGAGCTCCGATACCGCGACCACTTGGCGAGGAACAAACAGGGGGACCCGATCCTCTAAAGCTGGTCATTGGTCAACCGGGCGAAACGTTCAGGGAGGCTGTGAAATGCGTTGGCTGTGAAATGCGTTGTCTCCACAAGAATTCACAAAATGCATATGGCAAATACGTTGCAAGAGAAGGCAGATCATGAATACCAACACCTGCGACGTAAAGTTCACCGCGGGTTCTGACGTGGAGAACGAGAACCGTCCTAATGAGGACTGACTGGCAAGCCCTTTTTGATCTATTGTGCGGGGATGTTTCTGACTATCACTAGGTTTGGAGTAGAGAGGTTCGAATAAGTTGCTACCATTTTTCCTGTGGTCTATTTTAGTACGCGTCGTGTTGGTCAGGACCCTTGTCGTTTTTTGCGGGTCCTTCATGAATGAGCGCATCTTGTGGAATCGAGTGTCTACAGTTTGCGAAGCGAGTGAAAGCGAAGAAGAACTTCAGTTTGACCCGGAAGTCACATGCCTTCAGCTGTCTGCAGAGCGACCAAAAGCACGAGCTAAGCCGAAGGCTTCGCCCAAGCCGGCACGCAAGCAAACCAAGTGGGGCATGTGTGGGTATGCTCTGAGGCCACACATGTACAGCCACGGTGAGAACAGAGGAAAAGTATATTTGACATGTTCAAGTTGGTGGCAACGAGGCCCACGAGGAAACTAGTTGTGTTGGTTCTGCAAACCAGCGGGTGCAGGTTTGTGGAAGAAACTGCCATTGTTCATTCAGGAAAGATTCAATAGCGTTCAATGGCAACTGCAGCGCTCGCGCAAGAGGTGAAATCGCGAAGGCAGCAGCTTCGACAAGAGTCGAGCCAGGGCGGTGGGGAGTGGATATTTTTCTTTGCGGTCAACATGAACGTGACCATCCCCTCCTCATTGGTCAAAATCTGATGTACCCCCCGCGCCGCAGTCAGCGAAAGCCGTAGGCCCTAGATAATGTTGACCCCGGATTCATCAACCCCTGTTTATGAATATGGGGGTGGTCCCCTCCAAAAGTAACAAATCCCCACTAAAACCAGGGACACCCCCATACGAATAAACAGGGGTTGATTAATCCGGGGTCAACATTACACCTTATGCCTCGGAGCGGCTTTTTGGGCGCGAGTTCCCCAAGCATGTTGCTTCGCCGCAGCCGGAGAACATGGTGGCGATGGAACATGTTTATAGAACCAGACTGAAACCAGAGTCCAGCTTTCAAATTCGCAAAGAGATGGATTCAACACCTTGCAGACCTTTTGAAAGAAACCGAGAAGACATCGTGGAACAAATTCCTCAAACATTCCAGCAAATGGTCCGAGCCCTCTAAGAAGTTGAAAAAGTTCTCTGGGAGAGTGCCTCGCTACCCAGGGAAATTCGCAGTTCAGGATCTGCCGCTGACATCGAGGGGCTCTTTTCTGTTTGAATGAAAACCAGAGACTACCTGGCCTCATTATTCTACCATGATCAAAGTCATCCCGCAAGTGGTGGGTTGAAGGGAAACAACCCCATTTTCTGAGCCCCAGAAACAGTCAAAATAATGACACCCGAGTAATAATCCTAAGTTAAGCCAGGAGGGAAACCAGCCTTTCCTTCAACATCCCCCTTTTGACACCGAGATTTCTGCCGACGGGGTCCGTGAAAATCTTAATGGGCTGCTGGGTTCCCGGCCGCCACAAAAAAGCCTCAGATGGGCTGAGCAGGCACATCCCAGCATGCAGTCGGTTCAATGACCTCAATCGTGGTGTCGACTGCACATTAGCCCCTGGACAAGTCTTTCTATTTCAAGCGCCCGATTTGTTCTGCTTCCGCAGTCTTTGTTAGTTCGGACTGTGAGCATTCTCGTCCTGCGCGTGCTGGTTCAAAGCAGCCTGTAATTTGTACCTTTGGGTATCCTTTTTCTAGACAGGGCCTATCATTTCTGGCGTGGCCGCATATGGCGATCTGCTTTTAAGAGAGGTTTATGGCTGAATGGGCGTGGGTTGTCCAGAAACAAAAAAAGACTGGGTCTCATCATACCAAAAGCAAGGTTGCTGAGAAACGTCGACCAGCATCTGGCACGTGTCCCAACATTGGGGGACTCCTTCCGTTTCGGCGCCCGTCCAAAACAAGGCCATTCCATCACGGACCTGCGGGTAGCCTCAATGGTCTAAGGCCAAAAGGAAGGGCCCAACAAGGCCTTGAAGCAAAAGCCTGGAGAAAGTAAAATGGCTATGATTTTGATTTATTTATTTTTTATTAGGGACCCTTTGGTGGACATGACTTAGGTGGGGATTCATGTCCACCAACCACTTTTGAGGTGGATTCATGTTTGACATGAACCAGATTGAAGCATTGGTCCAGTGACTAGGTCCTCCAGTGGAGAGTGTCGAATAAGGGTACCAACTTTCTTCTGTAGTCTATTTTAGTACCCTTCCCCAAAAAAGGGTAAAAGGGCACTACTGGGGGACCTAGCTGAGAATCGAGCTCAACAGTCGCCCAATCAATGGGTCTGTGAGACATCGACTCCAGTGTTGACCTGGCACCCTCTCAAACGCTAGGTAACAACATGAGACGAGTGGATCTGCCATGTCCTCAGATTGAAAAATCGCGCAGAATGCACCCCGCCTCCAGACCCTTGGTGGACACGCAACCGCTCAGCCATGAAATCAAATTGGCAACCGCTCGGCCATGCGATTTCTTGGGATTTTGGCACGCCCTGCCCCCCCCCCCTCCTTCTCCTGCTGGAATGGGTGTTTTCCTGTATTCGGCTGCGCCAAGAGAGCCAGGGGACACCATGTGGGGAACGGGAATTCATCAACCCCTGGCGTCTGAATAGCAGCATAGCGGGTGCCATTTGGCCATGGGTCAAAAGCCAAATCGTAGCCCCAGTGAAAATCCCAATCCGCACTATAGATCAAAATGGGTGGTGCACCTACCCCAAAATGGGATCCCGTTGGTTTTGACCCACAGCCATTTAAGAGGCGATCCTGCAATGGTCCCAAGCAGCCCAAGCTCCCAGCCCGCGTCCACGTCGCCCGCCCCATTTCAGCCGTGAAGCGCTTGTTGACGATCACCGGCAGGCCAGAGATGTCCTCGAAATCCTGCAGGATTTCGAAAAGTCCCCAAAGAACCTACGTGCTCGGAGGAGGGACCGCTAGTACTAGGCGGCCCCTCCAGGTTTTTGGAGAAACCAAGAGGAAACCCATTTGGGGGGTTCCGGAAAAAACATGATTCTCATGAGCCAAGCCCCCTTGGCTTATTTCTCGCGTGCTGACTTTGCAAAAAGAAAGTCGATCGACCCAGGAGTCGACAGCCTGCGACGAGGGATCTGGCTGGAAAAGGCTGCATCAGGTCTCAATGCTTTGGTTCGATTTCCTTGATGAGGTTCCTCCTCCAATGAGATGGCAAACTTGTCCCTCTCCCCGATCGCCAACAAGTTTGCTGCTGTTGCGATTCATTCTCTCAATGATTGCCGCCGCTGGCGTGCTTGCCGACTTCCTGCAAAGCACTCGGACAGCCCTCGCACAGCGCCCGCGCTACTTTTAATTGCAAGGTCTTCCTGCACACGTGTCAGAAGTTTTCAGCCTGACAGCTGCCATACAAAGCACAGCCTCAATGCAAATGTTAACAAAGGCTGCGGCCAAAACTGGTCTTCGTGGATCTGTCGTGTGGTCTTGGATGTTGTGACCAGAAACAAAAGGCTGCCGCATGTGATGCGTGTGCGATCCGCCACGGAATTAAACGCACAGCGGACCGCTCGAGCTGATTCGCTTCGATTCGTCGCCAATGGCCTTGGCACCAGCCCCGTTGGGCTAACATGGGGATGAAACATGGGCTCACATTCCCTGTCTCTCCTGATCGAAACTCCGGGGCTCGCCGCGCTCCTTCCCGCTGCAAGAGCGAGCTGCCCTCTTGCAGACCCCGTGATTCGAGAGCTCATGTACTCAGGTTAGCCCTGCAAATTTTCTCGGGCCAAATGCCACAAGAGTCCTTCTCACGCTGGATTCCCAGCAAAAGGCGAAGGATAGATAGCACATTCCCATGATGCGCGCTTTCCAGCTGGCATCAGCTTGACATCCCAGCTGGCCATTACAGGGGTCCAATCACCTGAAAAAAAAAGGCGTTGCACGTGTCGTTCCCTGTAATCGGCCCTCTGGGGCTGAACGTCTAGGCACCGACCTGTGCAGCACCCAAACAGCCAGGACTAAAACCCACCCAAAAAGTGTGGCTCAAGAAAAGCTCCCGACTGGGCCAGCGAGAAATCTCCGCCTTGTTTGACAAAGCTGCAGATCTCGGCTTCTTGGCTTCGCCCCGGTCAGGGCGGACGGAGGCGCAAGCGCATGCTGCTTGAAACAGCGAGCATTGAAAAACGCCCACTCGAGCACGCGCGCTCGCGCGCGCCAAGCGTGGCTTGCGGGTAATCTTGAAAAGTTCCATGCAGTTGAGTCACGGGATATTCTACACCTTCAGGCCTTCAGGCGTGAGCAGTGCAATGTAAATCTATCACCGGCCAGCTGGTGGCCAGCCTTGTTCAGCCGAAAGTACCTAAGTGCCTATTCGGGAGGAGTCTCTGTTGATCAAAGGTCCAACCACAACCCTGGTCAAACACGAAATGTACAGTTATATCGTTATTTGATTGGGCTGACTTGGCTTTCCGCTTTCCTGCAAGTCTTCCAAAACATCACATAGCTGCATCCGATCGGAGACCCCTCACTCGGGTTGAGCTCTGCGCGCTTTGCCGGCGGTTGGGGCAGCACTCACAGCCTTGGATCCTGACATCGGCGGCTTTGGCGGTCGGATGGTTCCACTGAGACCCAAAATGGGGAAGGTGGGCGCTATATACCATTTATATGGGTACAGCAAATGGTTGTGTATGTATCTATACATATATATACATATATATATACCCCCCCCAGGGCCTACCTTTCCTCTCTTCTAGTTGAAGGTGTCAAGTCTACTCCGTGTGGGTGAGCATAATATATATATATATATATATATATGTGTAGCTAAATTAACAACATATTGCCCTTCTTTAAACCTCCGGCTTTGGGATCGAAACCAGCTCAATCCTCGTGACTTGGCCCAAGACGAGACTTCCAAACTGTTCGCTGCCACTAAACGGGTCTTCCCGTTGAAGTGACTCGCGCAAGTCCAGGAACTCGGGGTGTGCATCTAAGGGGAACAAAGAGGTACATGTTGGGAGAGAGTTGGAGGCTTGGCAGACGAGGCAGAGGGATCAGATTCTCAGAGCATGACATATCGTGGTGGCTCAGAATCAGAGGACACAGGGCTCACGTGGATGTTCTCCTGGGACCACTTTGCAGGTGGGCTCCCATAAAGCTGCCTCCCGAACGCAGGGTGCCTTCCTTCCCGCAGGAAGGGACCAAAAGATGAAGCTCCATGAAGAAAGAAACGGGCACGTGTCAACCTGATCTTCCGGAAAGTTCGGAAGACCGAAAACCGGGTTGAAACGGCTGCCAATTGGAGGGGCCCGATGCTTCTCAGGTCATCTTCGGGTCGACCGGTTTCTCGGGCCGGTCGGGCCGTTTTTTTCCAAGCCATCAGCCCCGATTGGAGATCCCGCTTCACAAAACCGCTCGGCCAAGAACGGTTGGCTCCCCTTGGAGCTTGTGAAACATAGCCAAAGAAAAAGCGGGTACTTGACTGGATCCGGTTTTGCAAGACATCCTCAACCCCCCTCCCCCACAAAAGTAGTTTTGACTAGGTCCTCCAGTGGAGAGGCCAGAATAAGGGCACCCTTTCTTTCTGTAGTCCATTTTAGCAGGGGAACCCTCCCCCAAAAAAGAAACGGTAAAAGGGCACTACTGGGGGCGCTTGTTGAGAACCCTCCAAATGTTCACTGCCAAAAGCTGCCTTTGTGCTCAGGTGGAGGAACACCACACCGCAGAAACTCCCAAAGGTGAACCGAGTCTCGCCCGCCCGGCCCGCCCATCCACTCCTGCGCGCCTCGCCTTTAAGCGGCCCTGCGAGCGTGGTCATGGGGATTTCCCAAAGAGGAAGCCCGAGAAGGGGCCGATGTCTCGTTGGTCGCCCTTGAAACTTTACACCAACGCCTTTTGACGCCAGGAATGTTGACCCCTTTTTTTACAACCCCCCTCTCAGATCCCCCCCCAAACAAAACTGCTGCTGTTTTGTGAGGTTCTAAACCCAGGAAACAGGAGAGATCTGCACAGCTGCCTGGACCGAATTTTCTCGCACGCCCCGGATGGGTTGCACTCCCCAAACCGACAACACCACGCTGCTTCATCTGGCCATGTGTCAACATCCCGTACCCCCAGTGAACATCCCAATCTCCACAAAAATAGACTAAAATGGGTGGTGCACCTACCCCAAAATGGGATCCCGTTGGTTTGACCCACAGCCATCTGGGTTCTCCTTAGGCCATGGCTCCGTTTCCAAGAGCAAGCCAAGAAAAATATGGTGTCTAACTTCGAGAAAACGCCCATTCACCCAGAGTGTCTCACCCTCTCACAACTAATTCAGTGCAACAACCACCTTTGGACGACGACCGTTCTCCTAAAAAGGGTTCAAGTGTGGAGCCACGTCTCTGCAAGTGCCATAAATTCAAACCCTGCAGTGAGAAGTGGATCCCTCAAGTAGAGGCCCTTAGCAGCTCGCCCGCCCTGTTGACACTCTGTCCGCATACAGAACAGGCTGACTGATCATCATCGAAATAAGAAACCTGACCGATCTCCCGCTCAAAGTTTAACTTCTAGTGGGTAAACTGGAAATCCCTACTAAACAATAAAAAAGCAAAAAAAGCTAAGAAACCGTATGGCTGGGAGCCACCAAGTGACCATCATCGAAATTCAGCAACTCGCTTGCAGGACAAATGCTCAACTCGCCCGCTACAGGGCTCCATGTAGGGGGTTTCGACTGGTCCCGTGGTGTTGGCTTGGAGCTCACACCAAGGAGCTATGTCTTTTTGAGGGTGCCTTTTCCAGGGCCGTTTAAAGGGAAACCAACAGGAAATCACATTTTTCTTTTGCCCCCAGGTCGCTGAAACGGACGTCCCGGCCCGCGAAAACGACGCCTGGAAGTCCTCGATCTCCCAGTCGTGGATGAAGATCTGAGCCGAGCCACCCGAGCGGCTTGAGGGGTGGAGGTGGACCCCAGCACAAAACGATACTTTTGGCCGGGTGAGTGGAAACCACGGGGGACCCCCAAAAAAGCAACAACAAAAACAAGGGTTGAGCTGGGTATGCAGCTTTCTTGGTGAGGACCAAACGCCCATCTTGTTTCTGTTTTGCAAAGACACTGGTGAATGGTTGGAAAACCAAGCTGCAAGCGTGGTATTCCAACTGAAACAAAGGACACCCCGGGATGGTTCCAACTAGTCTAGCCAGCTCACAAAAAAGAAGAAGATTGAGTTGGGCCCGGGAGATGTGTGTGCTTTGCGTGGGTATGATACCAGGCGTTCTACAATGGTAGGCCTACACGAATAATGGACAGGTCCATGCCGTGTTGCCAAAGAGCAACACGGATATTTGCGAATGTACTCGTCCCTTGGCGATTGGCATGTTGGGATTCAATTCTCAAAAAGGTGCTTGCTTTAGCTGCAATCAAGGTGACATGCTCTTTCTGGTCCAGGCAATAGGCCGAGTCTGAAAAAGGGTTTGGGGTAGGGACAAGTCTGGGTAGTCCCAGTGACTTCGTGCCCTTTTCGCTCTCTCGCGTCCGCGCCTCGGAGGAATCTGCAAAGGGAGTCCTGGCGTGTCCATTTTCCGGAGCCCGCAGGAACCCGAGCGTTGCTTCAAAAGGAACAGCCAAACGAGCTGTCGTACCCATTTTGGGGGGTCTACTTCGGACGGGGGAACATGATCATTTGAAAGAACGGTGCGGTTCTAAGTCATGTGGCCACGACCCCTGTTCCTTCACAGGAAGCAAACCAACGCGAGAATGGCCACGTTTGCTAAGTGGTTTAGAAATCAAGGGCCCCACTGACCCGCCCACCCGCCCGTCCGCCCACCCACAAGGCGTGGTTCACCCTGGTTGGCCCAATAGGTGGCCTTGTGTGGCCTTTGAGAAGACTTTCTTAGCCCAAGCGATGGTTTCTTTGCGATTGGTTGTAGCGCCGACA